TGGACTAGGAAGGAAAAAGTGAGGTCAGAACAAATGGGCTCAATTTTAGCAGTGAAGAAGGGGACAACACATTCAGCAGAGTCCACGAAGAAACAAGTAAATCAAATATATAAAAGATATGCAAATCTGGAACAGATCAAAAAATTAAGTAATTAAATAAGAAAATGCAAACAGAAAATATAAGAACTGAGTCGGGGCGAAAAAGGCGAACAGTGGATTAGGCAGCAGGCATAAAAGTTTCAAGAGTAGAAAACATAACTTTAATATGATAAATATAATTTCTGAAGTTGATTAAAAGAAAGTTAACTCCCAATTTCTTTCTTCTTCCAAACAGTGGATGACATATTTCAAAATCGCAGACATTCCCTATGATACAACTCTAAGGGTATTTTTTTTTCTTTCCAAAATACCCTTAGAGCTTACATCTCACTAAGACAGTGGCTGACAAATTCTGGTCCACCACTTTTATTGCTCTCATTCACCCTAGTAGTCCCTTCTACTCTAGGGGAAAATAACTCCTGAACCCATTAGCATAAGTGTTTTCCTCAGATACGTATCAGAACATATACAGAGGTGCCTTTCTGCCAGTTTTAGCTACTTCTGACTGAAACCCAATATTTTTCGAAACAAAATAAGTACCAAATGGTCTATGATAACTTTGTGATCAGCAGGTTTAAGACTCATTCGAAAGGAGGCTTTCCCACACACATTCATAATACTAAATTAGTGCCATAATAAAATACAGGTTGAGGGCCATTTACCCAAAAGTCTTGGGACAAGAAGTGTTTTGGAGTCTGCCTTTTTCTTTTTGGAATGAATGCATGTATTTACATATATGTTTAAACACTAAATTTCTTTGTGTTTCATAGACAAATTTAAAATAATTTTTGTGCATGAAACAAAGTTTATCTACACTAAACGAAAAAGCAAAGGTGTCACATTCTTAGTCACCTTTAGGGACAAGATAGGATTCCAGAGTACCGTACTTTGGATTTTGGGATTTTAGGTATGGGATGCAAAACCTGTGCTCACTTTCTTATTACATTTCCTGTTACTTATGGAGTTGCTACTATTCTAATAACTCCCTTATAGAACCCTCCTAAGTAGTAGTACTAATAATATCTATATAGTAATTGGAAAATAATCACTTTTAACTTCAAATAAAGAAATATACGTTCCAAGAAATCCACTAATGAAGATACATGATAATCCTAACAGTAAGTATATCACGTTGTAAACAAATGATAGATGTCAAGCCTAAACATGCATCTAATCTTGGAAGTTCAGCAGGGTCAGACCTACTTAGTACTTGGATGGGGAACCAAATCAGGTGCCGTGGGCTATATTTCAGAGGAAGGACGGAACTGGCAAAGCCAACTCTCAGTATTATTTGTCCAAGAAAACCCTATGAAATTCATGGGACTGCTATAAAACAGTACACACAGATGTACACAAAGATTTACAAATGTATTCAACTTTGATTTTCTCTTTTGGCTTATGTATTTTCAGCACAACTAGTTAATTACTGAATGTGGAGAAAACACTGATTTGCATATCAGTGCCCAAGAATGCACACTGTGTCAGGAGATAAGACATTATGGGTATACATTACACAGATTTGTCTCTGGGGAACTTGAGGAATCAACAGATCTTAAGCCTGTGTTATAGAGCAATACCGCCACCAGAAGACAAGAGTGTAAACTAGTGACAGTTAATGGTCTGCAGAATAGCTACTCAACTGGACATGACTATTACTGGCATTACAGCACCATTCAAAACCTTTAGACATAAGTCTCAGGGTGTATGTGGTTTGTATATATATTTCCCCACCTCAAGCCTCAGTGAATACTGTTTTACTGTAAGGCGGCCAAAAAAAACCTGCCTGCAAAATTTATAAAGCATGAGTCATTCTGAGTTTTCTGTAAGTCAAGCTGTAAAATTTTGGGATCACAATGTAACTGACCGCAGAGTAATGACAACACTGTGACTTATGTTCTACCTTGAAGGCCATCCACAATAGATTGCTTAAAGAATGAATCTTTTAAAGGCTAGTTCACCAACAAATACCAAGTGGAACTGAAACTGGAAATGCCTAAGAAAGCCCTAAAGCATTTGTGGAGTTTTCCATAAGTCAACTGATGACCTAAAGGCACAAGAACAGACAAAAAGGAATCACTATTATGATGCTGAACAGTTACAGGATTTCTTAAACATAAAAACAGATCTTGCTGAGTTCAACCAACTTCTAAATACACATAGGATTAAAGCTTTGTGTATCCACTCACTTTTCTGCCTATTTTTGGTCCACTATGTAAGCAAATTAGGCATACAGAAACACTGCAAATTGGATGAAAACACTGGTCCCTTCCACACAGCTGTATAAAATCCACATTGAACTGGATTATATGGCAGTATGGACTCAGAAAATCCAGTTCAAAGCAAATATTGTGGATTATCTGACTTGACATTCTGGGTTATATGGCTGTGTGGAAGTTCCCACTGTACAATTCAATTAGTTTTTCAAACAAAGTGATTGTTGGGTTGCTGTGAATTTTCAGGCTGCTTGGCCATGTTCCAGAGGCATTCTCTCCTGAAGTTTCACCCACATCTATTGCAGGCATCCTCAGAGGTTATGATGTCTGTTGGAAACTAGGCACGTTTATATATCTTTGGAATGTCCATGATGGAAGCCAGGCTTTGAAGCTGCAAGGCCGTTAAATGCTAATCAAGGTGGTCAATTGCAACATTCACACTTGCCTCAAACACAAGAGTTCTTTCTCCCACCCTGGACATTTCTGATATATAAAGCTTACTTGCCTATCTTCTAACATTCCTCACAACCTCTGAGGATGCCTGCCATAAAAGTGGGTGAAACATCAGGAGAGAATGCTTTTGGAATGTGGCCATACAGTCTGGAAAACGCACAGCAACCCAGTGATTCTGGCCATGAAAGCCTTCGACAACAAAGTGATTGTTGTGTTGTCGAAGGCTTTCATGGCAGAATCACTGGGTTGATGTGAGCTTTCCAGACTGTATGGCCATGTTCCAGAAACATTCTCTCCTGAAGTTTCGCCCACATCTATGGCAGGCATCTTCAGAGGTTAAGGGATCTGTTGGAAACTAGGCAAGTGAGGTTTATATATCTGGAATGTCCAGGATGATTGTTGTTTCAAAAATCCACCCAACAGGCAAGATAGGGACCAATTCTTAACCCAGGGCAATAGTACAATTATACTGATATGTGTGTGTGTGTGTGTGTGTGTCAGGAGTGACTTGAAAAACTGCAAATCACTTCTGGTGTGTGAGAATTGGGATAAATAAACTTTATTTTTGGGTTGTAGGTTTTTTTTGGGCTATGTTCTAGAGGCATTCTCTCCTGACGTTTCGCCTACATCTATAGCAAGCACCCTCAGAGGTAGTGAGGCGTGTAGGAACTAGGAAAATTGGGTTTATATATCTGTGGAATGTCCAGGGTGGGAGAAAGAACTCTTGTCTGCTGGAGCTAGGTGTGAATGTTTCAACTGGCCACCTTGATTAGCATTTGATGGCCTGGCAGTTTTTTGGTGTGGCTTGTTAGGGCCTGGGGGAATCTTTTGTCTTGTCTTAAAAACTTTATTTTTAACCTGCCCTCTCTCACTAGAGGGACCCAGAGTGGCTTCTAAAAACGAAAAATGGCCAACATTCAATGGCATGTGCAAATAACATTTTAAAACAATTAAAGCAAACAGTTTTTATATTGTTTTTTATATTGTTATTATTACATTACTGTTAATTGTATATTTATGTTTTGATGTGGGCGCCATGGGGTGCCACTTTGTTAGCCGTCCTGAGTCCCTCTGCAGAAGTTGAGAAAGGGTGGGATATAAAAGCCCTAAATCATCGGAGGTCGCAACAATACTTTATATACCGGGTCCTAGAGAAGTGCACTTGGAAAGGACCAGACGCAGAGCTTTTTCTATTTCTGCCCCTGCCTTATGGAATTCCTTGCTGCCTTATATGAGAGCCATGTGTGAGTTAGGGCCTTTTACCCTAGCACTCAAGACCTGGCTTTTTACTAGAGCTTTTGTTAATTTTATCAATATCTGTATGTATGTATTTTTATCCTTTACCATTTTAGCTTGTAAATCGCCTAGAGCAGGGGTCCTCAAACATTTTAAACAGAGGTCCAGGTCACAGTCCCTCAAACCGTTGGAGGGCCAAAATATAATTTGAAAAAAAAAATGAATGAATTCCTACACAAACTGCACATATCTTATTTGTAGTGCAAAAAACACTTTAAAACTATACAATTAAAATGTAGAACAATTTTAACAAATATGAACTTATTAGTATTTCAATGGGAAGTGTTCGCCTGCTTTTGACTGATGGGATAGGATTGTTGATGTTGTTGCTGTGTGCTTTCAAGTCGTTTCAGACTTAGGTTGACCCTCAGCGAGGGCCGGGTAAATAACTTAGAGGGCCGTATCCGGCCCTCGGACCTTAGTTTGAGGACCCCTGGCCTAGAGCATCTTGGATGGAGGGCGATTAATAAGTAATTAAATGATGATGATGATAAATAAATAAATAACCAGTCAATAATAAAACAATTGACCAACTTTGGCTAAAGCAAGGAACATATAATTCTGTCAGGCCCCTTAAGGTAAAGGTAGTCCCCTGACATTAAGTCCAGTCATGTCTGACTCTGGGGTGTGGTGTTCATCTCCATTTCTAAGCCGAAGAGCCAGCGTTGTCCTTAGACACCTCCAAGGTCATGTGGCTGGCATGACTGCATGGAGCGCCGTTACCTTCCCGCCGGAGCGGTACCTATTGATCTACTCACATTTGCATGTTTTCAAACTGCTAGGTTGGCAGAAGCTAGGGCTGACACCGGAAGCTCACGCCGCTCCCCGGAATCGAACCTGCGACCTTTTGATCAACAAGCTCAGCAGCTCAGCTCTTTAACCCACTGCGCCACCAGGGGCTCCTGTCAGGCCCCTTACCAGAGGGCAAAGCAGCCTTACCTTGTAATTGCTGGAGTTTACCCATCCTGTTAATTCATCAATCACTTTGTCAAGGCGTTGCTGATCCTGCTCCAGATCTGTAGAGACGCTGGGGTCGCTCAGATACTCCAGAAACTCCTGCCCGACCTGCATCCTGCGGCCCACATCTTTCTGTTGCACCTGATCGCAAAAGTAATCCATTTTGCCATGCTCCATCTTTTGTTTAGAGGCCAGAATCCCACTTTGTACCACTCCTTATTTATTTCAACTAAAGTAGTGTCTATTCCAAACTGCAGTGAGAAAAGTTCTCCAGGGAAAGAAGAAAAATCCGCCCAGCAGAAAAAGGTGATATAAACAAAAGCCTCCCAAAGGACAAAAGGCCTGCAAGAAGAACACTAAGTCATCCTGAGTTGCCAAAAATACAAAAGGGTTAAAGGGAGGAGGGTGAAAGGGAGTTTTGAATGGAAGGTTTTGTTTCTGAGGAGGGGCGACAGACGGGCGCGCTGCTGTCTCCTTCCTTCTCGGTGTTCCCTCCACAACTCAGCCTCTCTCTGGAAAGAGGCAAAGGGCTTGCTGAGGAAAGGAAGGGCCCGAAGGAGCCTGGCCGCCTCCCTCCCTCTCAGCGGGACGCCCCTCCGCGTAAGGGCCGAGCTCGGCCGCTCCTTCCGAGCCTTGTGGGAAGCAGGAAGCGGCGGGAAGAAGCGCCTCGCCGGAGCTGAGGCCCAGGCGGAACTTTCATGCTCCCCGCCCGCCCGGCTGAGGCGACTTGAGGGCCGCGCGAGGAGGCGCTTCCGCCGGCTCTCCTCCTCCTCCTCCTCCTCCTCCTCCTCCTCCTCCTCCTCCTCCGTCCTGTGGAAGTTGCGTCCACTTGGAGGCGCCGCCGACCAGCCACTCAGCGGGGGCGTCACTCACCCTGCGGAGGCCCCGCCCCTTCCTTCCCCTTTCGCCGCGCACGCGCTCCCCGCCCCCTCTCCCTCCTCCTTTCCCTTCTCTTTTTTTGGACTACTAGGCAGGCACACTTCCTCTCCCGCTCCCGCGCATGCGCCACGCCCAGACACCATGTGTGGATTTGTGTGTCTTCGCGCGCGCAGGCCCCGCCCCCTTCCCTCTTTTCTCCACGGCGCGCGCCTTGCCCGGGCAGCGTTCCAAGCAAGGTGCGTGCGCATGCGCCCGGGGTCCTCACTGCACCTCTTCTCCAGCCGCCGCCCGTCTTCCTCTTTCGACTTCCTCCGCCAATAGCATCCTACATAAGATGTGACCTAGCTTCATGGTCGTCTAGCAAGGTGCCTGTACCTTTTTGTCTACATAGGGACCACCATCAAACGCAGCATTGCCCAAACACGAATCAAGCAAGGAATATGAAAGGCACTGCAGACTACTTCAACCAGAGAAGTCAGCCATAGCAGAGCACCTGATGAACCAACCTGGGCACAGCATATTATTTGAGAACACAGAAATGCTGGACCACTCTCACAACCACCATGTCAGACTACACAGAGAAGCCACTGAAATCCACAAGCATGTGGACAATTTTAATGCTACTCTGCTGCTGAGTATGCATGCTCAGTGTGGAACACATCTCACCACACTAAAACAGTAGATGTGGCTCTTAATGAGACATGCCGCATTATCACGGGGTATCTGCGCCCTACACCACTGAAGAAATTACACTGCTTAGCCGGTATTGCACCACCTGGCATCCGCCGGGAAGTAGCAGCCAATAGTGAAAGGACCAAGGCAGAGACATCTCCAGCTCATCCCCTGTTTGGGTATCAGCCAGCACGTCAACGACTTAAATCTAGAAATAGTTTTCTAAGATCTACAGAGACACTCGCTGGAACACCTCAGCAAGCGAGAGTCCAAAAGTGGCAGGCTCAAACCCAGAACCTCAACCAATGACTGATACCAAATGAGAGACTCCCCCCCCCCCCCCCCCCCCCCCCCCCGGGCACACAGAGGACTGGGCGACTTGGAAGGCGCTGAACAGACTGCGCTCTGGCACCACGAGATGCAGAGCCAACCTCAAGAAATGGGGCTACAAAGTAGAATCCACGGCATGCGAGTGTGGAGAAGAGCAAACCACTGACTACCTGCTGCAATGCATCCTGAGCCCTGCCACATGCACAATGGAGGACTTTCTTACAGAAGCACTCCAAATGGTCAGCTACTGGTCAAAGGACATTTAATCAACTACCAAACTTGCAAATTTTGTATTTTGTCTGTTTGTTTGTTTTGTTCTGTTAGAAATGTAATACAATTGACTGGTTGCCCTGACACAACAAAATAAATTTCAACAGAAAGGAGGAAACCATGAAAATGAACAAAATTTGGCTACCAGTATTTAAAAAAAATCAAAAATTACAACAGCAAAACAACAGAGAGGAAACAAACAAGGACATCCAATCACTTCTCAACAAAAAATTGCCCCAGGCACTGCCAGGCTATCAAATGCTAATCAAGGTGGTCAGTTGAAACATTCACACCTAGCTCCAACAGACAAGAGTCCTTTGTCCCATCCTGGTCATTCCACAGATATATAAACCCCTTTTCCTAGTTCCAACAGACCTCACTACCTCTGAGGATGCTTGCCATAGATGCAGGCGAAACATCAGGATAGAATGCTTCTAGAACATGGCCATATAGCCTGAAAAAACCTTCAACAACTCAATGCAGAGAGTGTCTTGATTTGACTGTCTCTTCGCATTCAGGAAGGAAAATCGTTGCTTTTCTGCCAGCATTGGGTCAGCCTGGGTTGGGGGCTGATCTCATCACATTGACTAGAGAATGAATCTGCAGAATTGTGGGGTTTGTAGTTTAGGGAGGATTATAGAATCCTAGAGTTGGAAGAGACCTCATGGGCCATCCGATCCAACCCCATTCCGCCAAGAAGCAGGAAAATTGCATTCAAAGCACCCCCGACAGATGGCCATCCAGCCTCTGTTTAAAAGCCTCCAACACAGAAACTATTCTTTTTTAAAGTAACATCTTCATAAGAGAATCCTCAGTAACCCTCATTGTAACCACCAAACATCTGTACTGTATATATATTATTGAAACCATCACGCTTATGTACCTCAAAAGAGACAAACAGTTATTATTTCATCTTATGCAAAGTCTCACTCTCATCTCTAAAGCCCAACATAAATACAGCAAGGCTCCTGAACACAAAAGGTGGCAGCAGAAGGAGACTTTAACTACCTCACTAAACTACAAACCCCGGAATTCTGCAAGGAGTAAAACCCGGATTTAAAGTGGATTCATTCCCTTTACATGTACAATGGCACAGCCTGTGACTGGTTTGGGAATGCAGTGCAAGTTATAATAAAAGTTAAAGGTTTCCTCTGACACGGTGCTCCATGCAGTCATGCTGCCACATGACCTTGGAGGTGTCTACGGACAACGGCGGTTTTTCAGCTTAGAAACTGAGATGAGACCAACCCCCAGAGTTGGATACAACTGGATTCAATGCCAGGGGAAAACCTTTACTTTTACCTGGCCACAATAACTCATGTCACCTAAGAGAAGTGTTATTAAGAAGAAAAATCACAGAAAACAAATTCTGGGCCCCATTCTGGGCTAAAAGCCCAGATTTCCAAAAATGGCTTGGAACACCAACCCACTAGTCTAAATGGGAGTGACCACAAGCCAAAACCATATTCTGAAATCCATTGGGTAGTTACAGATTCAAAAGAGATTGTGGAATTCAATAGGTTAATGCAACCAAATGTTTAACATAATTAGATATTATTGATGAAACAAGCCACAGAAACCACACTGGAGGATTTCTTCCAGACCAAAACCAAAAAACACATATTCCAGAAAAATACCATGAATGCCAACTTCCTAGTAGGCAAGATGAACTGAATTCACCAATTACACATAAGTAGATGGCAGTGATTCAACAACCTAAGCAAAATCCACCCCTCAACAGAACACAGATTCAAGTGGTCTTTTTAGCCTTAAAATGTGTCTCAGAAAAGGGATTTCACAACATGACTTCAAACAGTGACAGCATTGCTTAATCACATGTGACTAGGGGAAAATAGCACAAGCTAAAAAAACCTGTATGGAAACTACATTCCAATACCAGTGCCAGAGAAAAGAGCAAAATCCACCATGCCTAGATATCTGGAGGTCTCTGATACTGGATACTAAAAAAAACCCCAATGTTGCAACATAAATTTTGATGCTTCAAAAGATGGAGTTGTTATATCTGTTAGTACATTTCACACTGTTCCCATGAGTGCCAACATTTATAAATATTGTTCAGACACAGCAAAGTGCCGCATGTGTCTTGAGACCAGAACCATTAAGTCTTGGCTGGTACAAAATTGTAAAAAAAAATGTTGCTGGAGAACGTTTTCCCAGTACAACTTGGGTATACTTTTTCTGAAATGCTTGGGACTAGAAGTTTTCTATATTTTGGATTCCCAGCCCTCCCCCCCAAGATTTTGAAATATTTGCATATGCATAATGAGATATCTTAACAATGGGATAAACATGAAATTAATTTATATTTCATATACACCTTCTACACATTTTCTAAAGGTTATTTTATACAGTATTTTCAATAATTTGTGCATGAAATAATGTTTGTGTGCATTGAACCATCAGAAAACAAAAGTGTCACTATCTCAGGGCACAACTTCACCGAACATTTAACATAGATTGAATGAAAGCATCTTGAAAATGCAGTGTTCAAATGATGTATGGCATGAACATGTGCAAGAATGAGCTCTACAGGCCCTAAACCAGGAGAAGCAATCTGAAGCCCCATCGACACTGACCATTTAATGCAGTATCAAACTAGTATTGGAGAAAGTGGTTTCTCTGTGCAGATGATTAAATAGGATATTCTGGATCCAGTTTGAGGCTCGGATGACACAAACCACAAAGCATTGGTGCACAGTGAGAGCTTGTTTTTTGCTTGTTTTTATGGGAATTCATTGTCTGCCCACCACAGTTTGAAACTAGCTTCAAACTGCATTAAATGGTAAGTGTAGATAGGGCCCGAAACAACCCCCATACTTTACTTAGGCGATCCCTCGTTGGACGAGTAGGATAGTCATCCATGATCAATATTCTTGTGGATCCGTAGGTGGCTGTGGAGCCCTATTCTTGACCTGCATCTTCTCCCACAGTGAGGGCATTGGTTTCCAGGTGAAAGGCAGTCTTGGTCGGGGTTGGTTTGACACGCCTTCCTCCTGGCACGTTTCTCTCTTTCACCCTCCATTTGTGCCTCTTCAAATTCTGCAGCACTGCTGGTCACAGCGCTCAAGGGCCAAGACTTCCCAGTTCTCAGTGTCTATGCCAGCGATGTTAAGGTTGGCTTTGAGCCCATCTTTAAATATCTTTTCCTGCCCACCAACATTCCGTTTTCCATTCTTGAGTTCGAAGTAGAGCAACTGCTTTGGGAGATGGTGGCCGGTCCAGCGGAGTTGATGGCAGAGGAACAATGCTTCAATGCTGGTGGTCTTTGCTTCTTCCAGCACGCTGACGTTTGTCCGCTTGTCTTCCCAAGAGGTTTGCAGAATTTTCCGGAGGTAGCGCTGATGGAATCGTTCCAAGAGTTGCATGTGACGTCTGTAGACAGTCCACATTTCGCAGGCATACAGCAGGGTTGGGAGGACAATAGTTTTATAGACAACCCCCATAACATGCATCAGCACATATAGGTATAAACCACACCATATGGCAAAACCAATTAAAGGATGTGGCAATCTGCACATGTGCCATAGAGTGAGGACAGTTGAGGGGAAAACCCAAATCCTCCATCACCATGAATCCATAGATACTTCAAATCCTGGAATC